CAGCTCAAGGTGCCATGTTCAATCTTAGTTGTGGGTGGGCATAGCTCACCATCCCATGCGGGAGTCAAACCGGAAACCCTGTTGCTAAGAGCGTACGCTCTAACCACTGAGCCATCCGGCAGACGGACAGCATCTCAGCTCAAGGTGCTGTGTTCAATCTTAGTTGTGGGTGGGCATAGCCCACCATCCCATGTGGGACTCGAACCGGCAACCTTTTTGCTAGGAGCACATGCTCTCACCAGCTGAGCCATCCTGCCACCTATTGGCAGCTCAGCTCGGGCGCAGCTCACTGGCCCATGTGGGAATCGAACTGGCAACCCTGTTGCTCAGAGCTCGCGCTCTTAACCAACTGAGCCACTTGGCTGGCCCCAGGAAGCACTTTTTTAGAAGACGAGGTTTTCTTATTATAAGAAAATTCCATTCATTTGGAGTATTTATATTATTGCTACAATTAAAGAAAAAGATATGTGTAAAAGGATAAAATGAAAAAATTAAAATGACTATGGCTTGGTGGTGGAGTTTGGGGTGAAAACTATCTTTAAGTATCTTAATAAAATTTGAAGACAGCCAAACAGAAATATCCATGAGGATGTTTGCAACTAGTTTTCTTTATAAGTTTCATATTCTAACAGAAATAAAGGGTGGAAAGAAACAAAATATTTATTTCCAGTAGATAAAAAGAGAAAATGGAATAGCAAGTTGGGTATGTCTCCCAGAGGTCTTAAGAGTCACACTTTACAAGATTCAAAGAATTAAACTAAGAATGAAAAGTAATGGTTACACAGCTGTCATGTTTCATTCAATCAATAGTGTCTCTTCTGTTTACAGCTAGGAGTAGAAGAGATAGTCTTTTAGACTCCAGAAACACTGGGTGGGACTATAAAATACCCCCTTGAAATGGCTCTTCAGTACCTCACTTTGGGGCAACTCCAACATCATTTGTACTTCAACTGAATGACAATCATTTTTAATCAGTATACTGAACTTAGTGTGTCCTCTTCCTGGGCAGTGCCCAAGGAGAAACTTAGAGAAGCCCAGTCTCTAGAGAGAGTTACCACCAAAAGCAAAGTTCACACTTAAGAATTGAAACTACAATTAGAGGTACTTACTAATCAATATTATGTTTTCAGCCACCATAATTTAGATACTTGAACAAAGAGAAATGAGTGTGGCTATGCTGCCATGTTAAAGAACAAGGGAATGTGTGTTCTTGGCAAACCTTTTTATCAACCTCAAGATCAGTGGTGGGTTTCTTGGAGCAGGCATGGTCTCCTTGTTCTTCAGAATCTGTATCAGAACACTCAGAGCTTCCAGCATCTTCTGAATCAGAACAAGTCTTTTCCCTAACTTGATTTTCTAGGAGTGCAGGGACCTTTGAAAATATTACAGAACCATGTTATTTTAAACCAATAGGTTATCTATTGTTATTAAATGTGTTAATGCCAGAATTCAGATGTTAAACTTGCAGATACACTTGGAAAAACAACAGCCTGTACTGAAATATCAAAATGACAGAATCAACATCAGAAAGGAAACTTGGAAGTAGCCATTCCAATAAAGCTCAAGAACATGCCCAAATGAAGAACCTGGGGCTCCACTGGGTGACCTGGAGCAACAACAGAACTGTTCTGCTCCAGCAGAGGAGGAGGGCTGCTTTGGATTTGGAAGCACAGTCATGTGCTGCTTAACGATGGGGATATTTTCTGAGAAATGCCTCACTAGGCTATTTCGTCATTGTGGAAACATCATGGAGTGCGCTTTCACACACCTAGAAGGTGCAGCCCACTACTGTAATTGTGTGTGCTATACTTATATATGACTGCTAGTACAGGGGGTTTGTTTACACCAGCATCACCACAAACACATGAGGAATGTGTTGCACTATGACACTGTTCTGTCACTAGGCGACAGCACTTTTCACTGTAATATTATGGGACCACAGACACACATGTGGTCCATCACTGAAACGTCATACAGTGATGACTGTGAAATACAGACAGAGTAACAAACACTTATTTGGATAACTTCACAGCTGTTTTCCTCTGAATCGCATTTCAAGTAACACTTGTTGTTAAGCCAATCAAGAGGGAAGACAATATTTAAACAAAAGAAATTTTCACTTTTTTCCTGAAGTTTAGCAATTTTTAAAGCAGCAGGAAGCACTATTTTTAAAAGATGAGGTTTTCCTTTTATAAGAAAAAAACCCAAGCCTTTAAAAGGCAATTGTACAAAAAGGTTTCCTATCCAGTTGAAACAAAATATTCCTGCTGTGGCATTCAAGGCACAACTGCTCTATAATACCTATTACATATAATTCAAAAATGCAAAATACTGTAATTTTCCTAATTCAATTCTTCCCATAAAAGACACAGTAAATTTTCAAAAAGCAAAACTGTGATCTTTCATGCTTAAGCCTTTAATTAAAAACATTAAAAGAAATAAGAACTCCTTTTATTATTGCTTAAATTAATCCCTGCTGTTCTAAAATACAAAACAAAACAGAATTGTTTTAAGAAAAAACACTACAGGAATTCAGCACTTTAAGACTGCTAAACTCATGAGATTGCTCTTCACACATACTAATATGAGACCGGATTCCACTGTTTTCATAAGTTGTTTGTACAAACATCAAGAAGCACGTGGTTATCAATAATAACTTCACAGATGAAGACCAGGATACAAAAAGGATCAATGCCTCAGCTACAATAACAGAACAATTCAGAGGCAGAATGAAAATTAAACCACAACTTTCCGTATTTCAGTCTTATGGTTAAAAAGAATGAACAAAATAACTGGCATTTCTGAAAATTCCCATAGACTTTGAAAGTATCTATACTAATAATTACATCATTGTTAATTTAATTCTAATAACACTTTACATTAATTTTATACCCTTTAGAAGAGTTTTCACATAAATACCTTCTGAACGCCTGACAAATCTTTCTTCAATCCTGTGACGGTTTGGTATAGAATCTTGCAACCAAAAAGAAAACAAAAATCAACAAAAAAGAGTAGACAATGAAATAACACAATCCAAAATTAAGAAAGAAGAGTGCAGGCTATATGATATCTTGTGGGTTATAAAAAGGTGCCTAAAATTTATCTCACTGTAATAAAGAAAGTTCATGGCATGGCTGTTATTCTTGCCCACCAAGCACACAGGCAGCAAAGTCCAGCCCACAGGCCAAGTCTAACCCACAGCCTGATGATGGTTTTACTGGTGAACACTCACAATCAGTTTGATGATGGAAACCTCTAACTATGAATCTCAATTAAATGAAAGGTATTCTCCTCTCCCAAATAACTCCATTCTCCTCTCATTAGTAGACCTGTATCATGAAAAGTTACATTCAATTATTATTAATGTTTTTAATTTCATCAATAAAAATTTGGGGGTAAACTTTTTTCTCTCTTTTTATATAATGACCTATATAATAGGCTTAATTTTGCGTCTTGTCCTGAAAAGCCTAACATATTTACTACTGGCTCTTTAAACAAATTTTCCAGACCCTGAAATATATATATATATGTTAATGGATCTGTAATAGTATAATAACCATTTATATGCTAGACTTCTATACAAATCTTCCTTTTTCTGCAATCATGGTCTGCTGGACTAATTCGAATGTGTCATTGCCTTTCATAAACACCAATGAATTCCCTTATATTCAATGTGCACAGAGGACATGTTAATGCAAAGGGAATTAGCCGTCTCACTAGGTTAGAAGCCAACATTCACGACTGCAGGTTTGGGACCGGAGCTTCCTTTGTAAAGCCGCTTACCATACAAGCCAAGCTACTCACATTGTCTTGTTGGGCATTAATGGCCATTTCTTCTTCCTTCAGTTTCATCATTATATCCACATCCCTCTCATAATTTTTCACTTCATTCAAGGTTCTAGGAATATATGCTCGTTTAAACACCTAACACACACAGAGGAAAAGTAAAATCGAAACTGTTATCCACATCCACATACTTCTCACATTCACTCAGCAGCCTCACACCCATCAAGTCATAAAAAAAATCTGTCCCTATCATCTGCGACACTGATTCTAGCCAGGCTGCCTGCACACCCTGGTGTGCTGTGCCAAAAGTAATTCGTTACTAATGATAAAAGACGAAATATGATTTAAAGTTACCCTTAGCAAAACACTTCTCTCCCTTCATTTGCATTCCAAAAAAGTTTTCCAAGTGGGAGAGAAAGGAATGGAGCTGCCTGGCTGTGCCTTACAAAGGAACATGTTCTAATATGTTACAGCTGTGCTATGGTGAAAAAAGGTTCAGAAATGCTGGTGACTGCAGGGTACCTTATATGCATCCATCACACTAACAGCTGTGAGAATTTGTTTTTAAGCCTACTATGGGTCACCTTCACAAAAAATACACAGATTCCCAGGATTGAAGTAGTTTTTCTTTTTTGTACAAAACATAAATATTTAAAATCTACAATGTTACTGGAATCAATATTTAAATCATTTAAAAATTCACATTTGCAAACTAAAACAGGCTTCTCCTTCTTGAATCATATACTCCTATAGGTTCTTTAAAATGTCTCCCTCTAGGACAATGGGCTCACAGGCTGCTGAGCAGAATGATGTAATGGAATGCTAAGTTAAATAACAATAATGTAACACAGTACATCTCAAGGAAATATTATCATTATTTTAAAAAACTGCTTATTAAAATCAAGTTCATGCCCTAACAATAAAAAATTAAATAAATAAATAAATAAATAAAGATCTCGAAACACAAGTGTTTCCCAAGGCTGTCAATACATAATAAATCTTACCTCTTCATCCACATGCTCTTGGCTGGACCTTTCTTCCTTGGTCCTCTGAGATGCTATTTCCATGGCCTTGGAAAGGAAACAAAAATTACTTTCCTTCACATTCAACCTATAGAACCTACATCCATTTCCCAATTTTAGTATCCATCTGCTCTAATCTTTATAGGTATGAGCTCTTCACACTTCTGAAAGGACTTGGTATCCTCTAGTGGTCAGGTTAGGTCTCCATGTTAGACCTCACCAAAAAAGTTGCCATCAACCCCGAAGTTGATGGCCATCAACAGAATAAATCAAACTTATGTAGGTCGCCTCAGGGGATCCCTAGTTCCTTCCTCAAAAGTAATACTACTTTTACTACTTTTTTAAAATTTTTATTGGGGAATCAGGGAAAAGGAACAGACAAATTGCTGTCCTTTTGTTCTTCAATCTAGTGGAGGACATTGCTTCACTGGCTCATGTTGGTATTATCATTGTGCTCTTCCCAGGTGAGGAAGATCAGTCGCCAGCCCCTGGATGGCCGCTCACAGTGGCGCTTGGCAGCTCACACTAGCTGCTGGCCGTTCACTGTAGCTTATGGCAGCCCATTGCAGCAGGGGCTGCAGCCCACTCTGTCACCGGTGACTCACAGCAGCCCAGCTCCGGGTCGAGCTGTTGTTCATCATCTAAGCTGTAGAGGGCAGTGTCACTGGCCCTCATGTGGGATCTGAACCAGGGCCTGCTGCTAAGAGCTGGCGTCCCAAGCCAGCTCTTAACCAATATGCCACTCGGTCAGCCCTTACTACTTTTTAAATTAGTAAAAATATTTACTAAAGAAAAACTAAGACCCAAAGAATGAAAGAAACATTCCCTAATTCCTAAGCAGTCAATGAAGGGAATCAAAAAGAAGGGGGACTATCCTCTAATTGTGAGTATATGGCTCTAACGCTACTGCAGTATAACCACCAGAGAGAGAAATCTGAGTAAACAATAACTGGCACAAAGAATGTGACAAAGAATCTACAGGATTCTTTTGGCTTGTAAAACTGTAAAACTGAAGATTTGTTCTCTATTTAGAATATACAGAAAAAAGGAAAGAATAGTGGTTCTAGGTAACTTTTTGTTTTAAGGAAGAGTTTTGGAATAAAAATGATGTAATATTTATGTATTCAATTCACATATGTGATTACTTACTATTGCCAGGTACTGATTAGGTACTGGCAGGATAAGATTAAAACTCCTGTCCCTTAAGAGTTCATAGTCTAGCAGAGGGTAACAAAATAAAAAAAAACCAAAAAACAAAAAAACAATACGGAAGTGATACAGTGTGACTACTTCTATTATAGTTACATAATATGAAAATACAGTTGGCCCTCCTTATTTGTGTATCTGCAAGCCCAGATTTAACCAGCTTTGGATAGAAAATATTCGAAAAAGAGTGTTACATTGTTGCTAATGTGCACTATATCGTTAGGCCTATGATGGCTGCGTCTGTACTAAACATGTACATACTTTTTCCTTGTCTTTATTTCCTAAACAATACAGTATGACAACTATTTCCATAGCATTTATGTTATATTAGGAACGATAAGTAGTTAGAGATGATTTAAAGTGAATTAAAGATAAGGGAGGCCTGTGTCAGTTACATGCAAATACTACGCCGTTTTATACAAGGGACTTGAGCATCCTCAGATTTTGGTATCCATGGGGCCCTGGAACCAATCCCCCTCAGATACCGAGGGATGACTGCATACCTTTGGAAATAATTATTTCTGCCTGATTTCTCCTTGAGAAAGTTTTCTGAACTGAGCTTTAAAGTTCACTAGGCAAAGCAAGATGAGCAAAGGTAGAAATGGGAAGGCAGTCCAAGGAAAGGGGAAAACGTGAAAAACTAAGTTAAAACCTGAAAACCTGGGTAGGAGCATACATGCCATCTCTTCAGTATTTTATGATTCAGAGGTAGCTACAATAAAAAAAGAATAGAGGAACTAACTGGACATCAAAATTAAAAACTTATGTGCATCAAAGGATATAATCAACAGAGTGAAAAGGGAGCCTATGGAATGGGAGAAAATATTTGCAAATCCTATCTGGTAACAGATTAATAACAT